GTTTGCCTACTTTTATTTTTTTAGAGTCTACAGGACTTAAGCAGACTTGGAATGGGGAGGGTCTGTGTTTAGAAGGTATCCTTGGTTTTATAATCAAGCCTTCCAAGATGCCTTTGGAGAAGATGCTAATCCTTTTTACAGGGAGAAATTTATCAGTTGCATTCAACCACGGGACTTAGCTTGGGGAGTTTACAACGATCGTTATGAACGCGGGTTGGAGGTTTATCATCCCAACTTCTGTAGTAAGCAATTCGGCTTTAGACAAGCCATTCCAATCCCATTCTTTGATTCTATTCATTGTGACACCTCTTATCGCCTCCAATCTCCTCAAGAAGTCATTTTTTTAGCTGCCCGATGTAGCCTTGAGGTTATGAGCAAGGTTGCCCGAAAGCCTTTAGCCCTTAATTTCGAATGCAACTCGACTTTCTCTACTTGATAGGAAGCTAAATGGATCAAGAAGTATGGATGAGATTTGCGGGAAGCTCACGACCGTCTCTTCAACCAACTCTCTCTCAAATCGTATCCTAGCTCGGGCAAACTTGAGAATTGGAAGGAAATGGTTAGTCAAAAGAACCAGCTTCTACTGATATGTACTTTATGTTCCCTTAATTTATATCTTATGAAAATCTTGTTAATCTGTCTTTCTCTAGCTCCTTATTCATTTTTTTTCTTTAACATTTACAGCCCAAGGGAATACTGAAACGACAAACATTGGGTCAAATGAAGAATCTGTCGATGAACAGATCATTCAAGAAGTTGCCGCTGAGGCTAAAAGGCAAGAGAAAGAAGAATGAGGGGATATCTCTGAGCTATCTGGAGACTCAGAGGCTGAGGGAGAGCCTGAAAAAAAACATTCGAGTACCTAAGCGGGCATAGACAGTTGTGGTAGAAACTTCTGATTTTGAGCCTGAGAAACAGCCTAAACCCAAACGGGCAACCCCAACCAGAAAGAGTACAAGAACTCAGACTTCTAAGTCTTCAAAAGCTGCCTCTGCTTCAAAGACATCTACTGTTGTTGGGGTAGGCAGAAACAAAAAGCCTTCAATAAGTACTCCTTGCTTCAATTTTCCATTTATAGTTTACGTCTGAAAGCTAACAATTTTATTTTATTTTCCTTTCAGGACCCCAGGTATCTAAGAAGCCTTATTTTGTTTCATTGGGCATAGAAATGCAACAAAAGGTCGAAGAACATGAAAATGCTGCCTTTAAAGAGTTAGAGGTATAGCCTGCCATTTTTATTTTTTTTTTAATTTTTTTCCTTTTCCTTTCTTAATTCTCTGCCTGACTATCTGCAACAGGATCTTCGAGAAAAAAAGATCTCACCCCCCGAGGCTTCTTCTCCTTCATCCCGATTAAGGCAAGCTCATCCTTCTCGAGCAAAATCCATTCCTCTGGAGGTGACTTCCATTTCTCAGTTTGATCGTTCAACTGGGAAGATGATGCACTATGTTGAGGATGACAGTAACCTAGTAAGTGCCTACCTTTAACACTTTCAAACTAAGAATCCTTTTTCTTTGTACTAATCATCTTCTACTCTTCCCAGCCTTCTCCAACACAGAAACCCCATCAAACACAAGTTTCCATTTTCGGGGAGCATATAGTCCCTGAGATTCTTGTGGTCTTAGAGGTAACTAACCCACAGGCCTCTCGGGCATCTCCCACTGATGCACTTAAAGCTTCTAAAGTGCCTGCTCCTCAACCTTAGGTTCCCCCCTCAGGTACATCATAACTTTAAACCTTCTACTTTTCTTTTTCATAAGTTAATTACTAACTTTGGCCCCCACTTCTGCTATTTGTAGGTTTCTGTTGAAGGTTCGAACACTGTTTCTCTTCCCTTGGTAAGCCATGACAGTCCCTCCCGGTAATCAGAGGAAGTAACTTCCCCTCCATCTCCTTCCAAGGTTATGGGCTTAACTCAGGTAGATTTACCTTGTCTTCTTATGACTCGTAAATTTTCCTTTTAACACGTCTGTCTTGGTTGCAACAAGGTTCTGGAGAAGGTTCGGGCAAATCTCCATCGTGCATAGTGCGCAAGAAAGATCTTCTTCGCCCCTTCCTGGTTCTAGTATCACAGGAATCTCTATCCCTAAGCCTGTGAGTAAGCGAGCCAAGACTTCTACAACAACTACTTTCATTCCTACTCTTTTAGTTGAGGTTGCCCTCACTTCGACGGTTGAAGGTGCGAAAGGTGCACCTTTTGCTTATTTAGCATCATCCTTGCCCGACCTGGTAAAGAAATTCGGGCCAATCAAAACTAAATTGCAGTCATCTCCAACATTTTCTAAGTCTCATAATTTTCAAAATGCTCGTCAAATCTTCAAGGATTTGATGAAACAGGACTTCACAACTTCTTTCAGCCTTAAGATTTTCCATGACGCGGAGAAGGCGCTTATTGAGCTTTACCAAGTTCAGTTGCTATCCCAGGCTCAATACAAGTCTTTTCTGAGTTTCTTCGAGAATTTAAGGGCATTATGAGATCAGCATCAGAAGGCGGAGCGGGCATCTAATAGAGTGAAGTGCTTTCAGGAAAAACACGTGAAGAGTACAGCCACGCTCCTGCAGTTGGTGGAAGAAGGGTCAGTGATGGAAGAAAGGATTACAGTGGTTAATTCTGAAATCCAGCTCCTAAATGAACAATTTTCTTTACTCAAAGCCGAGAAAGTGACCCTCATTAACCACCTTTCCTAAAAAGTAGAAGAGATGGAGAAGATTTCGCAAGAGGTTGAGGATTCCAAAACCCAACTTATGAACAACAACATGTATTTATGAGAACCAAGCTGAATTTTTACCATCATGCAAACTTACTTTTCTAGAATAGTTGCTCTGGCCGAAGATGTAAAGTTGTTGGACTAAGATTTCTGTAATCCCTTCTTGAAATGAAATCTTCTTCTATTTAACTTTCTAGACTTTTAATAGTAGAAATCTCTCTCCAAATTTACCCGATCTTGTTAAGAAAAACTTCTGAACATCTTGGACACGCCTTTTAGTTGAAAATCCCCTCCCAACCTTTGGAGGACCTTCCCTGAGGTTTCTTTTTCTGGCTGTCCACAAAACACTCAAGCTTCTAGCTTTTCCTTCTCTTGATTATCTTCTGATTAAGGATGTCTCTTGCTGCTAGTACTTCTAGCTTATACTTATGTTAACTGTATAAAGATACCCCCTCTATTATAGCTGCTTTGGATTTTTCGGGCATTTTGAGAGTTTCCTCTGTGGATCTTTCATTCTTCTTTTACCTCCCAAGTGGCTCTCCCTTTCCTCTTCTTAGCCCATGTTAAGTTGATCATGTTTATTGGGGCTTCAAGGAAGGGATCCGTGTCAATCATCATTTTGGCCTGAGGTTTTTCTACTAGCAACTTTCCTTTAATGATGAGATCTTGCACCTAGTCTCTAAACTAGACACAGTTGGTGATGGAGTGGTTGAAGGTGTAGTGCAGCTTGCAATACTTTTTCCCTCTTAATTCCTCGGGCTTAGGCAACTTTTTAGTGTTATCGGGCACAATTATCCTTGCCCGTACCAATTCCTCATAGATTTATGTGGCCTTGGTTTAGTAAAAGGAATAGTTTTGGTATTTTGGGGACAGAGAAAGACAAATGGTGGATGATGGAGGTAAACACTGTGGTTGTGTTCGGGCAGGAAATCTGGCTGAACAAGGTCCCTGCCTCGAGCACATAGCTCATTGAGGAGTTGGCACTTTGGTTGATTGTCGGGGTCCGGTTTGCAGAGATGCTACAAGAAAAGAACAAAGTTAGTTCTGAAAGGTGCCTTTGTGGGGCCTTATGTGTAGCCTTGAGGCTCGCAATCAAAACTAACTAAGTGCTAAAGAGTGCCATTGCCATCTTTGTATGGCAAATGTAGAACAAGTGTATTTAAGCCGATTACTTGCACCCCAAGTTATTCTGACTTCTTGTTATCAAAGGATTGTCGTAGATGGGTTAAGTCTACATTAAGTTCTTTTCTATGCCTTGAGATCAATGACTTTTAGTTCTTTATCTTGTATGCTTAAAGGGTGGAGACCCAGATCTGATCAAGTCATTAGTTTTAATTCACTTTTAATCTTCTTATGATAATAAAATTACTAAGTGAACCAGATTTGAGAACTGATGGAACTTTGGATCATCAAAAGACTGGAAATGACTTGAATATATACTAGGAAATACATTATAACACCAGATCTATTAATTGAAAGACAAAACAAAGAGAGGCGGGCACAATTTCACCTTGTCGGGCAAGGTTAAACATCTTGCAATCTCTTCTTTGTTGTAGTTCTAAAAGGTTAGGTATTGAAAGAGGGATGAGTGATAAATGAGTTTACACAAGAGAATCGATACTACATCATTTAGAGAAGGTAGCAGAGCTTTTACATAAATAAAAGATGTCTTTCTAAAGGAAGTCTAAAGCTAAAAGGGTGCAGAATCTGAACAAAGCACAACTTTTTGGATATTTGCTTGACTGAGAGGCAAGTTGTATGCTTGTTTGTTTGATTGGTTGAGTGTTCTTGTCTCTGGGCCCTCTTCCCCTATTTATAGGCGAATTAGCCCGACTGCACCATTTCTGCTCTTGTTCGAAAACAACTGAAAGGTAGTGAGTCATCAGCATTTTTACATGTTCTGCCATTCGGAAAACTGTTGTTAGGCCGAGAGTTGGTTGATTTCCATCGGTTGTTACTTCCCTTGTAAGCACCTAACCTTTGCATTTAATGGGGAGCCGTCATATTGCCTAGAGATGAGTATCTGGGCTTGGTGCTGGGCTTCGGGCAAAATCTCCTTTACTAAGCTCTTTTGGGCTTTTCTTCCCTCGAAGTCTTGAGTTAAATATTAACCCAAACAGGTTGGATCATCTTTTTATTCATGTTAGGTATATATATATATATATATATCTCTGTCTCCCTCTACCTCTCTCATGCTCTTCTGTTGATCACTTATGACTACAAGGAAGTGAAAAAGAAAACTTCTTTCTTAGCAAACCATGTGATCGTATTTTATTTTGAGCATGAGCTTTAATGTGCTTGACACTTGCTGCTGGAGGGTGGCAAGCAAATCTGATTGTGTATCTGATTCAGGAGTTTAATGTGAAGAGCATTGATGCTACTCAGGTGTCAAATGTTGTCAATGGTTGCACTAGTTTGTTTCCTATCATTGGAGCAATTATTGCAGACTCTTTCTTTGGCTGTTTCCCTGTCTTCCTGATCTCGTCTTATATCTCTTTTCTGGTAATAGCCTCGCTCGGTCTTTACTTTAACAAGTACACATGCTCACATAGTTATGATAGCTCTGTTAATCATTGATTTATGATAGCTCTGGTTTTTCTTTGCCATGTATACAGCGACTGTTACAAGTTCTACTGCCGTTGTCTATATTGAGGACAGTGTCAGTTGGGGGTTGGGATTTGGCCTAACGGCTCTTGTTAATATGATTGGTCTGGTCATATTCTCATCTGGAATCCATTTCTATCATCGTGATAAGCCACAAGGTAGCCCATTTGTGAATATAGCTCGTGTTATTGTTGCTAGTATCCGGAAATGGAACGTTAAGCTCTCATCCAAAAGGGAGGATTACCAGCAATGATGGAGAGACCAAGACGACTCCTGCAGCACCTAAAAAGAGTTTCATGTACCAGAATTTCCACACGTTCTGCATCCTCACATTGATTTTACGTTGGTGTCTTCTTTATTGCACGCCTCTTGTTTTTTGAACTGTGAGGCCAAATACAAAATATAACTAGAAGATAATAAGTGACGTCGTGTATATAATTCACGGGTGACATAATTCAACCCTATCACAAGCTTCGCCTAACAAGACCTCTAGCTTTTCTGTATGATCGATGATGGAAAATAATGTAAGGTTGACGGCAGAAAAATCTTGTAGACACAATTTTCCAAAATCTTGTAGACATAATTTCACTTATATTATGTTGTTGAAGATTCATGTAATGTGATGAGATAGTTCTGCGTTTTCCGGGACTGAGTGCTATGAAATCCATCCTTGGTGATTGTGGGATTATTGCTCAGCGACTTGGCCACTTAAGGATGTTGGAAACAGCTTTTGGGGAACAATTGCGTTGTTCACTTCACGGGAATCAACAAGCGAGGAAGCTTTTCCCCAATGTTTTTTTATCTGTAATCATTATTTTGTTGAGTTTGGATGAATACACAGTACTATTTCTGTAGGAAACAGAGTGCCATGCTGTTGGAGCGGGATTTCCCACAAAGTGAAATACCTCCACAGAATTGTTGACCGCAATCCTCACGTTCGCCGAATCCTTCTTCGAAGTGTCCCAAAATAATCTTCCTCCGCAGCTTTGGCCGGGCGGGGTACATGCAGAAGATACTCCAACGCTCAAGTCAGTCGATTAGTTCCTATTCTCGGGATTCTCTCGGGTGTTCTTTACGTACCTGATTCTTTGGCTCCTCTCCCTATTTATAGGATTGCGTACTTGAGATTCAAGTACCACGATCGTCTTCCTTCCCCACTTCCTTAGTGGTCATCGTCATATCACTACATGCTTTGGGAACAAGTCCCATGACCTGTCTTCCTCTCCCACTTCTCTTCTGTAGTGGGGTAGTTACCTCGGCACGCGCCCTTGTGCTTATTTCTTGTGGGCTTTTTATTCTGCACAACTCTTTTTCCTTAGATGATCGGCCCATGAGTCGAAATTAGGTTTTATCCTCCCACAATGCCCCATTTTTTCCTTTTTTTACGCATGTAAAATAGGGAAAAACCAAGTTTTTCGATCTCATAAGGCCTTGAAATTGTACTCTCTAAGCCAAACTAAAACTTTAAGCATTGCCAACCTTGTGGGAGTTGCTTTTTCTAAAAATAAATTTTCGAAGAACGAACATTACGAAAGAGGATTTACGAATGAACATTACGAATGAACATGAGGACTGACATCACGAAAGAGGTCTAACATTACGAAAGAAGATTTACGAACATTACGAAAGATGACTGACATGACGAACGAGGACTGACATCACGAAAGAGGTCTAACATTACGAAAGAGGATTTACGAACATTACGAAAAAGCGAACGAGGACTGATGTCACGAAAGAGGTCTAACATTACGAAAGAGGATTTACGAACATTACGAAAGAGGACTGACGTCACGGAAGAGGTCTATCATTACGAAACAGGATTTATGAACATTACGAAAGAGGACTGACGTCACGGAAGAGGTCCATCATTACGAAAGAGGATTTATGAACATTACGAAAGACTGACATGGCGAACGAGGACTGACGTCATGGAAGAGGTCTATCATTACGAAAAAGGATTTATGAACATTACGAAAGATGACTGACATGGCGAACGAGGACTGACATCACGGAAGAGGTCTATCATTACGAAAGAGGATTTACGAAAATTACGAAAGAGGACTTACGAAAGTGGACTGACGCCTTGTACGTGTTTATTATATAGATCTCTATCCCATCTTGTCTGCACTCCTTCATTCACTTTTACCTGATTTACATACATATATATATATATATATATATATATATATATATATATATATATATATATATATTTACATATATAAATATTTACCATGTGGGTTTCCTCCTCACGCATATAATCCATAATGCTAGGCTGCACACCTAGTCTGCACATCTAATATGCACGCATATGTATACATATATCAATATATCAATATATATATATATATATATATATATATATATATATATATATATATATAATATATATATACACCGACATACTTGCTTTTCCCCCTCTTATATGTCTATGTACATTCCTGCATAAATCACATCCTTGACTGGGCTACCTATCTATTTATCTACATATATATTTTCCTGGACTTGCAGACATCACTTCCTTAACCAGACTACACACACACACACACACACACACACACACACACACACATATATATATATATGCACACATATCTGGGTACATTGGCATATATAGGCACATTTTTACACGCAACATAGGCATACCTTTGCGTACGACATGCAAATCTCTGCACTTACTTCTCATATACTTGCATATATCTCTACACATGTATGCGTATATATTTATATGTCATTACCTTGAGTTCCTCCATCCCTATTTTCCTTCACTTCACCTGCTCAGTTTCTTCACCAAGCCTGTGATTTCTCGTTTCAAAGTGGCCTCTTAGCTTATAGGTGATTTTTTATTTCAAACCCCTCTTGTGGGAATATTTCAAACATTTCACTTTCGTTATCGATCTCAAAAATCGTTCAACCTTGAGTTTACTCTTAATCAATTTTTTACCTTTTCGATCTTGGCTGGATCTTTACCCATTCGATCTTGGGTTTTCTTTTCCCGCTCGATTTTCGATTTCCGATCTTGATTGGGTCTCTGCCCATCCGATCTTGGGTTTTCTTTCCCCACACGATCTTAGATTTCCGATCTTGATTGGGTCTCTGCCCATCCGATCCTGGGTTTTCTTTTCCCACTCGATCTTAGATTTCCGATCTTGATTGGGTCTCTGCCCACACGATCTTAGATTTCTGATCCTGATTGGGTCTCTGCCCATCCGATCTTGGGTTTTCTTTTCCCACACGATCTTAGATTTCCGATCTTGATTGGGTCTCTGCCCATCCGATCTTGGGTTTTCTTTTCCCACACGATCTTAGATTTCCGATCCTGATTGGGTCTCTGCCCATCTGATCTTGGGTTTTCTTTTCCCACACGATCTTAGATTTCCGATCTTGATTGAGTCTCTGCCCATCCGATCTTGGGTTTTCTTTTCCCACTCGATCTTATGTTTTCGATCTTGATTCGATCCTCATCCCTTGGTTTATACTCTTCAACTTTTAGACTTTAGTCTAAGATTCGAATAAAGTGCAACTTTATTTATCATACAATGAGGAGATGTCAACAGACATCCAGGGACACCCTCTTTGACATGCAAGGAAGACAATAGGGGATTTACCCTTCAACGTTGCTGGAAACAGAAACTTAGATACGGAAAACATAAACACGAGTAGCTAAATGTGGTACTTTCTCAAATGAATTGCGCTTCATGGGCGTGGCACATACTGACCTGTTTCTACGTGCCTGAGTTTATAAGCTCCATTTCTGAAAGCTTCAGTCACCTCATATGGTCATTCCCATATGCGTCCAAGTTTCCCTACATTCTAATATTTTGTGTTTTCCATGACTTTTCTCAATATCCACTCAAATCTTTCGTGGTAGTGACCGCTGGAGATGTAACAATAGTCGCGGTGGCCTGCTTTGATTGGATTAATTCCTCTTCCTCTAATCTGGTGAGTCCATCAGCTCGGGCCATCACCTCTCTCATGTCCAGTGGTGGCGTTTCGATCAATGACTTACGCATCTTTGTTCCAGGCAACGCCCCTTCTCGGAATGCCAAAGACGCAGTGTGGGAATCACATTCTTCTAGGGTGGACATCTCTTCGGTGAACCTAGTCATGTAGCTTTTGAGGCTCTCGCCAAAATTTTGTTTGGTGTTGAACAAGATCGTAATATCTTTTCTTGGCCTCCGATTGCAGACATATTGGGATATGAATGCTTCGCAAAGCTCTGTGAAACTTCCGATAGACCTCGGTTTCAGTTGCCTGAACCAAGTTAACGATGACCCCGAAAGACTTGAGGGGAACAACTTGCACAGGAAGGCCTCATCGTCTCCTTCAAGCGCCATTTGTTGTTGAAAGTGGTAAATGTGTTCGACGGGATCAATTGCACCTTCGAATAGCCTAAACTTTGGTTGGGTGAACTTGGCAGGTTTTTTAGCTTTCAGGATGTCCTCTGTGAACGGCGATTTGCGAATCCCTCTGACTGCTTCCAAGGCAAGTTCTGCTAGGGTCTGAGGCTTATATCCCTTCACAATCTTCTCAATTTGTTCTCGCAAATCAACATCCTTTACCTTTTTCGATCCTTTTCCCCTGTGATCCTCTTCGCCCTGATTTTTCGTCACTTCAACACGGTTACTGTATGGCACGCTACTAGAGATGCCCCTCTTATCTTCCTTTTCTGCACGTTGTCTCTTGGTGCCGGTTGCACCTTCTACTGCGTTTCTCGCTTCAGCCTTCTTCAACGCTTCATCTACTATCTTTTTTGTTTCACGCAATTCCCTCGTTAACCTTCTAAATTGTTCCATGGCGAGACAAGGTTCACTATTTTGGGATTGAGACCTTGCGTGTACCGATCGAGTCCTTGTATCTTCAGAAGGATTCGGAACTTCTTGTGTGGATCCAGTCATGTTTATAGCTTGATTTTGTTTCGTTCCCACAGACGGCGCCAACTGTTTGAGCGGGATTTCCCACAAAGAGAAAAACCTCCACAGAGTTGTTGACCGCAATTCTCACGTTCGCCGAATCCTTCTTCGAAGTGTCCCAAAATAATCTTCCTCCGCAGCTTTGGCCGGGCGGGGTACCTGCAGAACATACTCCGACGCTCAAGTCAGTCGATTAGTTCCTATTCTCGGGATTCTCTCGGGTGTTCTTTACGTACCTGATTCTTTGGCTCCTCTCCCTATTTATAGGATTGCGTACTTGAGATTCAAGTACCACAATCGTCTTCCTTCCCCACTTCCTTAGTGGTCATCGTCATATCAC